ATTTTTTCAAGAATCTAATATTTGTGGGGGGGAAAATACTATAGTTGATTTTGTTTTTTTCCCATTATAATTTTTGAGATTTACTGCTTCAATACAATGAATAGATTTGTCTTGGAATATAATGTAGATCCTTAATTTCCTATTTTTTTCACATGGTCAATGTAGGGGTTCGAATAAGCTTAAATTGTCATAGTGATGGACAATTTTGAAACATTCCAAGATTGGAATGAGAGTCACTCTGATTATCAGCTAAGCACTTCTTACAGAGAGTTACTTAGCAGTATCTAACCGCACTGCTGCAGCTGCGAGCTATTATTTGAAGGGAAAAAAAAAACACATTATATAAGGTACAGATTTATAGATAGGAGAAAAGCTGCTATTTTATGTGATAAGATGCACTTAGAAGATTACAATGTACTACTTATATTGATCTGATTGAAACAAGTTCATATATAAAAAGAAATTGCCTTTAAAAACTCTATAAATTCACAGCCGGGCTGTTTCTAAAAACTTGTCCAAATGCTGTAATTAAAGGAACACTTCAAGCACCATAACCGCTACAGTATGCTGTAGTGATTGTGGTGTCAGAAGTCAAAGCTACTTTGTATGGAGAGCTGGAAGTTAAGCCTAGAGGTACAGGGCTTAGCTCATTGGCTAGACGGTAGCTAGCACTGCATTGTAGGGCTAAGTTCTGCAGAGCTAAGAGAAGCATCTACTTAGGAGGTTTGGCTTTCCACAGGCATTAGGAGAGGCAAAAGCAGTGGAATTCTAAATCTTATACGGGAGAGGAAAGGCTAATTGTGAAGATATTTTTAAGGATATAGGAATTTTTAAGGATATAGGAATGTTTGCACATTTTATACTGGGGACCCCTATTTTTTTATTTTAGTTTTTAAACAGGGATCAGACTGTGGATTGCTTTAATAAGATGGAGGACGACTCAAGGGAATTTGATGATGCTCTGCATTTGTATTATGTGAGCACTCATGATGTTGGCTATTTACCTGCATAGAGCCAGTATCAATGATCGATCTTGATTGGGGCCAGATATTAAATATTGCTGCAAAATATAGATTAAGCAATAGCACACACACAATACAAAAAACAGTTTGAAATTTGACATGGCTACTTGCAAACCACTTGTCTTGGCAAACAAATATGGGTATTCGGTTCCACTATATTGCCATATTGTGTTGAGCCCTACTTCACAGTCCCCCAATATTGCTGGGTTAACATGCCAGCTATATGGTGCAATTGGATCATTGTATTTGTTTGCTAATTTAAAGGAATACTATAGTCACCTAAATTATTTTAGCTAAATAAAGCGGTTTTAGTGTATAGATCATTCCCCTGCAATTTCACTGCTCAATTCACTGTCATTTAGGAGTTAAATCACTTTGTTTCTGTTTATGCAGCCCTAGCCACACCTCCCCTGGCTATGATTGACAGAGCCTGCATGAAAAAAAAACTGGTTTCACTTTCAAACAGATGTAATTTACCTTAAATAATTGTATCTCAATCTCTAAATTGAACTTTAATCGCATACAGGAGGCTCTTGCAGGGTCTAGCAAGCTATTAACATAGCAGGGGATAAGACAATCTTAATTAAACAGAACTTGCAATAAAGAAAGCCTAAACAGGGCTCTCTTTACATGAAGTGTTTATAGAAGGCTGTGCAAGTCACATGCAGGGAGGTGTGACTATGGTTCATAAACAAAGGGATTTAACTCCTAAATGGCAGAGGATTGAGCAGTGAGGCTGCAGGGGCATGTTCTATACACCAAAACTGCTTCATTAAGCTAAAGTTGTTCAGGTGACTATAGTGTCCCTTTAAGGATCCTTGTAAAATTTAAAGCAGCATTTTGTGTGTGTGTGTGTGTGTGTGCGCGCATTGTTCCCTGATCTGTATTTTGTACACATTTTGGTCTTTACAGCAGTACTAGTACTTATATATGCATGTTCCAGGTGTGCCCCCAACTCTTTTTTTTCTATGAAATATTGCTGTACCATACAGATTAATGCACTTACTAAATATCAATTTAAAAACCACAAATGACTCACAAGTGAATACAGAAGGTGTACACATTAAAGTACATAAACCAAGTTCAGTTTTGAAGAAACATGAAGGAGGGATGAGTTAGATATCTTATCCTTTGGTAAACCACCACTGCAGCAAGTGATTTATAACACACCTTACTGTCTCAGTCTATTAAACAATTGTCTTTTTATGACTTCTCATTGAGCGTGTATGATGAACAATGTGCTATAATTCCACTATCCCTTGAAGAAGGGGAGCCTTCTCTCTAAAGCTTCTCTTTAAAGAGCTGAATAATGGCTTATTGTGTATCATGAAGGTTATTAAGTGTCATTATTTTATAGACTGGCAGCGCAAGTATAAAATAACTGCTAAGCAGTCAAAAAAATGTATTGGAAGATGACGGATTGTCTTTCTTACCTTAAAACACATGTGTATAGGCCACTGTCTTGGACCTCTGCAGTGTGAATCCATATAGAGTCGTCATCTTTGCTCATCCTAACAATTGAAAAAAGAATTGGTTCTTCCAAGTCGCCTTTGGTTTTATACCACATAAGTCTGAGTCCTGCGCTTTGAGCCATGGTGTACGTAGTCCTGATATAGCTGTAGAAAAGGGCACATTTCATGCGGATTGGTTCACCCGCCAAGGCCATGTAACTTTTTAAGTCCACCGACCAATCCATGCAGCCATCCACTAAAACGAAACAGACAAAAAAAAAAAACCACACAAAGTTACACAAGAATGAAACTTTAACATTCGTTATCATGGTTTAATTGGAAAATATATATCATGGTTAAGGGAGTGAATATATACTTTTATTGTGAAAGCATTACACTTGATAAAAAGTTGCAACAAATGTCCAAATAGATCAAAATGAAAACACACAACAAACTGTAAACCATCACAATGATGATAAATTTTAAAGGGACAGTATTGGCACTGTAACCACTTAATCTTATTGACTTTAAGGGACACTATAGGAACCCAAACCGCTGAATCTCATTGAACTGGGCTGGGTGCAAGGTCCCTGTCATTTTCAAAAAAATTGCAATATTTATATTGCAGGGTTACAGCCACTAGAGGTGCTTCCTGCAGTTTCACAGTGTATAACGCAACATCCTCATTAGCCCAAGCAACACAGAGGGGATGAAGACTTTAATTTAGCATTAGAACATGTAAAATGGCTTAAAGGTAAATGGAAGGATGGTGACCGTGGACCCTTGGCACTATAACCACTTTAATGAGGTGGAGCAGTTCCAATTTCTTTTTAATTCTAGTAGATTGCTTTAAAAGTAAAGAAATCAGCATTGCCCTTCTCTTGGTTTCCATAGTGATTACTCAACATTTACATCGGTGTCCTACAATTGCTGCCACTATGATTTACACCACATTTAGTGCAGACAAGTTTGTAAACAATATAGCAGTGGTTAACCGCTATAAAACTGCTTTGGTAGAGCTGGTCCAGTCAACTATCCCTACAGTCATTGTGAACTGGCAAAAATCTAGGAGCAACAACTGCTCAACCAGCAATAATAGGTCACAGAAGCTCACAGAACTCCCGTGTGCTTCGGTAGTGCATTTTGTATGTGAATAAAAAACAAATGAAGACACAACATTTAGAATAAATTATCACCAAAAAAAAAAAGTGGGTGAAGGGTTCATATTTAAAAACAATACTTGTATATATATATTTTTTTAAAGTATAAATAAAACATACATACTTTTTAAGCCAGTCAGCCAATCATTAGCCTGGTAAGTATAAATCTCTATTGTGCACCTCTGTGTCGCCATGTCACAAGTGGGGATTTGACCATCAGGGATCTTTGCAAAATATACAAAGACTAGCCATGGTAACAGAGCCCCTACTATAATCAACTTTTTGCATTTAAATTCATTTTGGAATCTTTGCATTATCACATAGAAATATTGCTGATTATGACATTTGGGGATCCTAAATATCTGGAAAACCATTTTATTTTCATCATTCTTTCATGCAACACATTACTGTTATAGTAAACACTGGATTTTAAATTTATTATTTTTTTTATTGAACTGTCATACATTTTATTAGAAATCTAAATAGCAAGCCTACATAGCTCACAAATTGTATATTGCCAGATGCGTGGTACTCGCTTATCACTTGCACTGACAGACAGCAGTGATATCAGGAGATTTAATTAAATAATAAAATGTAAAAAAAAATAAAAAATTAATTAGACTGACATTTGCTCTGCTCCACTGAAGATTTGTCCTCAGGGTTACGTTACAAACACAGAAGATGAGGGAGGCAAAAGATCTAATGCCTAGGGGTGCACAACATGTAAATTTGGCATTAAAGGGAGCCATATTGTTACTCCCCATCTGCTGTTTTAAAGACATGCTGACACCACAAATTTTTAATGTACTGATAGGGGTTTCCATACAAATTTGGGAATAATGTTCAACCCATAATTCTACAAGCAAGGTAAAATCATTTCATCCCAATCAGTACACTGCAATTGAATATTTTGGTGCTTTATTATCATTGATTTAAAAAAGTGTTTGATTGGGGGGCGGGGCCTGGCTGCCAACCAAGATGGCCGAATGCAGAGTGAGCTCCGTGTAAAACACTCCAGCAAAGCCCTAATGCAGAATTATTCCCTCAGCATACTTTACAGGCAAAAGCGGACTTCAGCTCTGCAACATCTGGCAGATTTCTGGGCACAAAATGAGCAGAGTGGTCTCGACACACAACTGCGGCCCGGTGGGGGTTATCCCGGCTCCAGCACCCACACCGTACTCACGACCACCTGGTGCCATGCGACCCTGTACACGTCCCTGCTGGAAGAATCGTCGGGAGCCAAGATGGCGGGCGCAGGTCCTCACACCATGCTACAAGACCCGTAAGACACAACACTTGCAAAGCTGGATGTAATATTCACAAAATTTTGGCGTAAGCTCGAGGAGAGGCAATGGAGTGCCAGCATGCAAGGCTACTCACCTCCGGCAGCAGCTACAAAGAGCCGAAACCAGCACACACCTAAAGCACCGGAGGCCCACAGACTGGTAACCTCCACTCGGCGACCACACACCACGGGGGTCTGCTGCTCATCGGTAATCACACAAGCATTGACTCGCATTAAGAAGCGGAGGACAGTCCATAAGAGGAAAAAAGTCATGGCAAAGCCAACTCACCTGCAATGCCTCGTTAAGTTACAGCCCACCAGGCGAATTACTGCTGCTTCGCTGAAAGTGGGGAGGCCTGCCAAGGGCCGCCGACTCGCTCTGGCTGAACCCTACCGTCAACAGCACAACTCGCACCCTGTGAGAGATCTGATTCATCAAAAGGAAAAGCACCAAGGAGGAGGGCTGCTGTCCCAGGTGATGATCAACGCTACTCCCCAAGCCTGTACTTACCTGAGTTCACCAAGGACAAACAAAGCTGTGCACTTCCCTTGCCTGAATGGACGCTCCACTGACCGGGACTGTAAATACCCACTGAGGGGCATCAGGTAGCTGCAAACACAGGGCCATACCCTGCCACAGGCCTCCCACCACACTAGGCCACACACAGCACTACTTAACCCAGCTAGCTTAGCTTGCTTTTTTCCATTGCTAGCTACTTAACACTCCTGGCAGAGCAGGCACCCAGTACTGTTAATATTCTCCATTGTTTTATATTGCTTTCTTTGCTTATGCTGTTAATTATCACAGTTAGTTAAGGCTGTATAATTGGTGTCAAGGGCCCGTGGCATAATATCTCTGGTGTGTAACCCAAATGTGATGAAACCTGAATCTCAGTCAGACCTTCTGTTTAGATCAACAGTTTAGCTTGTTTATTAAACTTATAAAAATGTGCACAATCCTCAGATGCTACGACACAACATTTTGATTATGTTCCTAGGATGATTATTACTGTCGTCATGGCATTTCAAATCTGTATGTCAATCTTTGCACAATAAAAATAATGAATTAAAACGAAAAAGGGTTTGATTCATAATTTTAAATTCAAGATAACATGATGGGTGACGTCATCTATGCATTATTATTATTTTTGATAATGTGCAATTTGACAACATGTAGTACATGGGACCCAGTCTGCCTAGAATCAGTGGTTAAACTACCAAACATGAGCTTCTGTTTGTAGTCATTGTCCATTTAATTTAGCCATCTCCTGATACAGATCTCCAGACTTTGCTGGCATGCAGTGCCCATGGTCCCATGGCAGCTAATAGATGGAAAAGAATTACAGATATTTTATTTCAATTGAAGCTTGGGTTCCCTCCCATTATAGATATATATATTATGCAATTTAATATTTATGGATAAGCGAATACAATTTTAAAATTATTTAATATTTTGAAACATATTGGAATATTTTGATATATTGATTTTATATTTTTTCATATTTTCTGAAAAAGATCATTTTAAAAATGTATACAAAAATATTAAATCATTTAAAAAATGTGTCCAACAATATTAAATTGAGGCTATAAACTTTGAAATGATTTCATATTTTTGGAAAAACATTTAAAATATTCTGAAAAATATTAGCATTTTGTAATATATTGATTTTTTTTATATTAAAAAAAATATAATTTAAATGAAATCAATTGTTGCTGCTATTTCACAAATTCATGAAATGGACGCCAAATGACGTGAATTCATGAAGAAAATTTTTTTAGTAATGAGGAAATAGTTGTCTTTGGTCATCTGGATCATGTAGCAACTCAGTCGGCAGTTAAGTGCCGACAACGTAACGAGATTGCAAAACAAGCAGACTGTCAGTAAGTATAAAAGACAATTTATAACTAGAACATATTTTATAACCTGAGGAACTGCATAGTTTAGAGAATTATTTATATTCAGCAATTTTAATGAAATGAATTAATGAAGAACACTGGGCAAAGAGTGCTTATTCCATTAGGAAATTGCTGCTTTATCACACCCTTTAGTAAATGCTTAGTGACGGATTCCTCAAGCCATTGAGGCAAAGAGTTTTAGCAGAAGACGACCAGCCCCGACAGATACTTGTGTGGACAACATAGGAAAGTGAAAATGTATGGCCATATAGCACCTCTCTTTCTCCATGGCTTGTCCTATGATTTACGAGCATTTGATATATGGAGCACTCTCTCCGTATTGAAAATTATATTGAGATTTCTTGTACTCCTTTGTATAGTTGCCAACATCAAGTTGCACATTCCTGACATTGAAAAAAAGGGGGTAAGGGGCCAAACTCAGAACCGGCATTTCTCACAGCAGTGGTGCTACCAAAAAGACTAAAATGTATTCAAAATACAAATTAAGGAACATTCCTGCTAACTCTTCATTTGTTTACATATTCTGTTTCTATATGCTACTAAGGTTTTTGTTTTTTTTATTTATTATTCCTATTTTTTTCCCCAAAGCATAGAGCAGAGATGGGGATAATTCTAAAGCTCTCCGTTCAAAAAGTGAACTAACTTTAGTATAGGAGGGCAGTGTCCAAAATATTAAAAGGTATTGATTCTTTCAATAGGGGTTTGGATTCTGGAATGACGAGGATTTGAAGAGCACGTAGAGTTGCACTGAAATAGAAGAGGACCAGTGGCTGCTACTCACCAGTAACAATCTTTTGTAGTTAACTATATTGCTTTGTTAACCTGTGTTCAATAAAACCATTCTCCTAATACTCACAATAACGCATAACATTTGGCATAACTAAATTATTTATGGGAGGTGGGGGGAAGGGGAGGGGTCACCTTCTACTTAACGGAGACAAAAAGTTGGTGTTTCAAAAAGCATTTGTAATTTTGCTGATACTTTGGTGGTCAGGTGAAAATCAAGGTGATGGAATTTTTTTTGTAGAGGTTAAATAGTTATTGTTGCGTCATACCATTTCCATATGTGATGCCAACAAACACAGCTATAATTTTAAGAAGCAGATTTCATGTATCGATCGCTCATTTTGATTGCTGAATTAAGTATACTCTGCCATAAATGCTTCTTGTGACAAATAAGTTCAACATGAAACATAACTTGTTTTTCTTTGACCTTGATTGGAGAAGGTTGATTTATAATTCATATGTCCTTTAGGCTACAGGAAGGCTGAGATTCTTGATAAAGAGACTCTGTATCATGATCTCATTCATCAACCTCTAATGACCTTGATGGTTCAGAAAGCCTGACTCTTCTACCCAAGACATTAAATAGCCAAGTCATACATGGTTTGCTGTTAAACTAGACTGAGAAGAAACAGGCATTGCTATTTAAAGGTGACAATAAAAGTTTGATCCATATCCAGATTCGAAAGTGTATTTATAATCTCACAAGATGGTTTACCCCAGAAAGTGAACATAGCATAGCTTTTACTCATTCTTTTCTACAGCTGAATTTCTAACCATGGCTTTATAAAGAAGCCTGTGGGCCTGTCTGATTTTTTTATGTGGTTTGTATATGGTTACCTGCTCATAAATGATACACAATTTGTAATAATGATGTTTTAATGCATATTGTTATAAAATATAAAGTTTTCAATAAAAAATATTTGAAAAGAATCATCTGTCTAACATATAACAGAAAGTGCTTATGACGAGGTAAAAAATAATAAATCTATAAATAACACAAGTAACATATTGTGCAATAATAAAAATAATACACTTTAATTATTCCTCAGCTGAATCTTAGGCTGGTATGAAAGGAGAAGCACAGAAGAAGACAGAGAAAAATAGGAACCTAGACTAAAGAGAGTGTAATACTTTGGAGCTTTAATCTTGTAGATAAGAGGACCCTTTACCTCCTTTTAAGTCCAGAAGTAAACACCTACACTGAACTATGGTGATTAAGCCAGGGTTGAACAAAGAGTAATTTAACTCCTAATTAGCAGAGAATTGAACATTGAGACTGTCGCGGAATGTTCTATACACCAAAACCACTTCATTAATCTGGAGCGGTTTAAACTGATCATTTAATGAATTTGTAATGCATTGTTATTCTTGAATCTGCCTAGTCTAGAATGTACTAAACTCCAAAAAGAGGTGGAACATCTTTTTTCTATTAAGTACTGTATTAACTGAGTGATTTCGGAGCTGATATGTACAGATTGTGGAAGCAGTTAAGTCATAAACACCAACACGCAATAATTTATAATTATATTTGAATGTAATAGAGCCGATACATCACCATATGTTTAACAGTCTACAATGTGACTACAATTTATAGTTAAAGGGATCCTATAGTGCCAGGAAAACAAAGACATTTTCCTGGCACCATAGGGTTAATAGGTCCCCCCCCTCCCCCTGCCCCACCTTCCGCAGGGCTGGAGGGGATCAGCCACTTACCTGAATCCAGGGCTGATATCCCTGAGTGCTGGGTCAGGCTCAGGTCCATGCTCCACTGCCGCCAACGTCAGCCAGCAGAAGAGCCCTATTGCGTATGCCTGTCAATGGCGGCACGTGCACATTAGACCTTGCCATAGGAAAGCATTGTACAATGCTTTCCTATGGGAAAAATCATCTGACGCTGGAGGTCCTCATGCAGAGCGTGAGGATGTCCAGTGTCAGATAATGGACCAAAAGTCAGTTTGGATTCCGGAAGCGCCCCCAGTGGCTATCTAGTAGACAGCCACTGAGGGCAGACTTAGAGCAGACTTAGAGCTGAAATGTAAACATTTTACATTACTGCACTAGATGCAAAAGGGACACAGCACCCAGACTACTTCAATGAGTTTAAGGGGTCTAGGTGCCTACAGTGTCCCTTTAAAATATAAAGGAAACAAACAATGTTTTCTAAATTAGTGCCAGGGATAATGTGGTATACAATTACTATGAAAGAAGTAGCACAGTGTCATAGCAGGGTTTAACTTTTCATTGGTTAAAAGCAGCGAATATGACATAGCTCGAATATTACAGAAAAGCAAAAATGCACATAAGTGGCAAGGGATCTTTGGAGGCGGCAATATTCAAGTGAAGTCTAGTTACACAGTCACAGGATTAGATTGATATATATGGCCAACAGATCAATGCGTTTCATTGTGAGGATATTGCCTTCCATTCAACTTCTGCAGCTGGTTCTTGTTGCAGGATAAGGTACAGATTTCTTGGTTTCATTTTATTTTTCAGAAATACATAGGCTATTCAAAATCCTGGGTAATAATGTGTGCCTTTAAGAGGGATAGTAATTTGTGCTGTTTCATTGAGTTTTGTTTTTTTCTTCTCAGTATGGTTTATATATCCAGCTGTCATATTTTAAAGTCTTTATAAGTAAATGTTCAATATCAATGTTCACTTTGTTTTTTTTTTTTTTTACTTGTTATTATAAGATTAATAAATCCTTTCTTCAGTACATAAAATTTTGAAATGAATGCTCCGATCCCAGTATCCCATTTAGTTTTTTGGACATAAAAATAAGGGTATGTAAATTGCAAAGTGATGCCACATCCTTTATACAATGTATCAATGCCAACACAATTAATGGCTTATGTTACATTTTACCATTGTTTTCAACCCTCCATTACAAGACCTCACAATAC